TCCCAAATATCAGCTCGCAGCATGTCATGATAGCGGGTCCTCCTCATATCCTCATCACCCGCGTACTGGGGCACCAGTAACGCTCTCTCTCGGAACATGACGGTGATCTCCGCCACAGTCTCCGTCGTCTGTCTCATATCCAAGAACTCCCTAGCCAGCTGCTGAAGCTCGACAGCCGGCGCGAACTCTGCCCTGAACCTGGTCGCAAAGTCTGACCAAGTCATAGCCTCAACAGCCGAGGCTCCCAACGAGTCACTCACGGACTCCCACCAATCCCTAGCCCGATCTCGTAAACACCCCGATGCAAACCTCACCTTCGACCCCTCAGGGAAGGAGCTAATCATCTGTGCAGACTCGATGTCTGCAATCCATCATCTGGCGGCTATGGGGTCCTTCGCCCCGTGAAAATCCGACGCACCACTGCCCTGGAAGTCCTTGAAGCACAGTGTGCGGGATCCCGACTGGCCAGATGCCATGTCGCTCCTGAATGCCCGGAGGCGGTCGTCCATTAACTCCAATATCCCTTCCTTGATCGACCCAAAGATAATGGGGGCCGACTCAAGGATGCCTCTGGTGATCTCTGACGCGATGAAGTCGCGTAGCCCCTCATCTACTGGCTTAGAACCTGATCCCGAACCCGATCCATCTCCTTTACTGCCAACTGCTGGCCTCGAGCGTAGTACCACCATTCTGAAATACATAAATAATAATTGTTAGTGATATTGATACCTCTGGGGGAATCGCACCTACTACAACTTTCCTGGTCTTATCTTGGCCTTCCTCGGTTCGGGTACGGATCCTTTGCTTTCAGTAATACAGGCCCATACTACCTTCCACATCTATCCGTACCTTCTCCAAGACGGCCTTGATTCCACCAGGTCCGTATCACTACCACTGATCACCGCTATACTCATCCTAGGCTTGCCCCAGGAAAATCTCTAACTCCACTCGACCCGGTCCTCAGCTGCTGAAGGCCTCCTTGTAATGCCAGTTAGCCATTACCTGACTACCATCACATGTGATGAGGCTCAGATAATCCTTCGAGTAACAGATTCGTCCTTATAACGGTTAGACTCAAACGAGAGTTGCGCAATAAGGCCAAATCCAGCGCTCTAAGATTATTCAATCCTGATCACATGTGACGGGACGTATCCACCTAATGGCTAACTCCCATCACTCAGAATCCCACAAAGCACAAAGTACAAAGCAGGCAGCATTCAGACAAAAAGGGAACAATCTCACGCAAATATGTTCTTGTAGAGAGAAACTGAACTAGCATACAGTACTAAACTCATAATATCAGGTATTACCTTATAGGCTATCCTACTGTTGTCTACTCAATTCTAGCATGCATTTTCATACACTGAAGCACATAAGGTAGGCACATAAGGCATCACTCCTAGATCCTTAGTCCTATTCTAGCATGCTGTTCTACTGAAACTGATAAACATAACATAAGCTTGTATGGGTACTTTGGGGAATACTTACTTGACCTCGGCCGGTCGCGCACATCACACACCTTGTTCTTTCTTAAAACCCCTTACTTAGCCTTTCAGAAAACATTTTCTCTTTCTAAAATCTCTTAATCCCTCGATTTGAGTTTAAACACCCCCGAAGGTGTGTCAGAATCCCTCAAACCAGGGCTCTGATACCAACTTGTAACATCCCAAAGTACGAGCCAAAAATTTCATTTTTAGAACATGTATTTAGCAAAACATTAGAAATAAAACGTCAACGCTCATATCATTTCATAAAGATATTGCACGTCCGGAAAACATTTATATAAATCGTAATAGTGTCAGAGTATAGATCCCCAGGAAGATCTCATAATGCGGAATACAAAGCATGTGTGTGATGTACCGCTACCGCGCCGGCTCCTTCCCCTTCGAAGAAGAGATACCTGAAACCAAAAATGAAAACTGTAAGCACGAAGCTTAATGAGTTCCCCCACTGTACCACATACCATGAAATCACAAAACATACATATACTGTCGGGCATATCTAGGTGCCCGACCTACCCCTTCGGTCCTTGCGACCAGATATGCCCGACAGTATCCGACTTCGGTCAGCATAACTTTTCTGCCGACTTTGTGTAACTCGCAACCTTTGACTCCTATATGCCCTAATTTGAACCCATATGGAAAATGGATGTTACATATGCATCTGTAGGGCCGTTGTAGATCATTAAGATTGTAGTCTTCATGGATACATATGAAAAGGAGATACATCGTACGTGTAGACGCACCATAGTTAAACATATGTATAGATGATAACGTTGAAAGTCTATACCAAAACCAAGATGTTTAACTAAATTTTGTTCACCGGTTTCTCATTTATAAACCAATGGGAGTTTTGGATATGTACATATGAGGACTTTACACATGCTGGTTAGAATGTGATGTATCTTTTATATGTATGTTATCATTGCATGCTAAATATTTAGTTAAGTTACTTACTCTACTGTATACATGTGTTGATCGACATCATATCATGCTCTTGCTCTGGATTTCCTCGCTTCTGGATCAAAAGTCAAAACATACTCGATGGACATTTGTATCGATAACTTTCAACACTGATTTACAAGATTGGCATGGCATGACTGATGGATCCTTGTACCATATTGGTCTAAGTGTGATACAATATAATTATGTTTTAGTTACATTACCTCATTAATAGTCACTTGAATGAAAATGTTATTTTATGATTTGTTATTTCCAACATTTTGTGCAACCATACATCCTCATTAATTATTGAATGCCCAATGGTTTTTTAGTGGTTTTAGATTTTCATACATTCACTTTCACTATATATGATAGTTATTGAGCTGATATCTACTTTTTAGAATTTGCATCTTGGTTTATAGCTATGTGACCCCGTGTCCATAAACTGTTTGTGGATATCTTTTACTGGTGGTACCAAACTCACTGATGTAATCTCTCTTAAGAGTTTCACATTCACCCTTTACTGACACAAACGTTCCACAACAATCTACGATAATAGAAACTATGGAATGTTCTTATGTTGGTTTCTATACAGGTTGATTGTTGGTCAATTAGTTAACAAAAATGGTTACACTAAGACCTCGGCCTACTCATATCGGAGTTGATTTGCACAAATTGCATGGGTTAAATGGCAAAAGTAGGGGTTCATTTTCATATTATATTATTATTTGAGCATATACAAGTTTTTGTAATTATTAACTTTTTGGATTTTGCTCTAGTTTTTTTTTTCATGCAATTCCGGAAGTATCTGTTTCATTTTGAAAATATGAGTTTTTTTTTTCGTTATTAATCATATAAAGTTAGAAAAGACCACTAAACCAAAATTAAACACACAAACACATAAAATACATACATAAATGCTCATTATATAAAGAGAAAATTATAAAAATAGCCAAACATACTAATTACTTTGTAAAAAAATAGTCAAAAATCAACAAATTACACAAAATAATCATCGAAAGCACATGTGATTAGTGCCCATCTACAATTTCCGCATTCATCTGTGAAATTCTAACCCTTTAATGCATGGATTCTGTATCAACCACTTGTACCTTCGCAAATAATAATACCCATCTACGATTTCTTTTTAACATATGCTATTTCTTTTTCAGGACTACAAAATACCCATTTTGTTTGAAATCCCTCATTTTTTTAGATTCAAAGTTGGGAAAACTCTCCGAATCTCTTTGAATCAAGAACGATAGATATTCATTACAACTTAAAATAATTTAGAACGATGAAAACTCTTTCAATCTTTTTTTCACGCCTCATGATAATCATTTTATTTAGGGGTTGTCTAATAAGACACCCTATTTTACCATTTAGACAACCCTAATTAATATTTGAAATGTTTTTATTGGTTGAAATTGCATTAATTTCCGAAAAAGATGATTACAAGAAGTTCATTATAGGTTGATTTTTTGTAAAAATGATTATAGGGTATCTAAGGGGTGTCTTATTAACATCACCCATTTATTTAGCTTTATAATTTAGAAGGTGTCTTAATTAATTTAATTTAGTGTTTCAACTTATATTGATAATCATTATAACTAAAAAGACAACCAATAGATAATCATTACAACTTTGAAAGTTTTTTGCTTCGTCCATTCAGAGAGATTCTAAGAGTTTTACTAACTTTGAAACAAGAAAATTGAAGGTTTAAAAAAAAAGTGTTTTTATAGTTTTGAAAAAGAAATAGTAGACGGGGTCAAAAGAAATCATAGAGGAGTATATTATCATCTACCAAGGTGGGTGATGAAGAAGACGTGCATTGAAGAATTGTACTTTCACAGATGAATAACAAAATCACAAAAGGGCAATAATCACGTGTGATTTCGATGATTATTTAACATAATTTGTTGATTTTGACTATTTTTTACAAAGTAATTAGCATATTTGATTATTTTTTATAATTTTCTCTCATATAAATGATCAACCATCAATTGAAATTAACATAAACAAAAACATAAAAATGGTACTCAGGGATGACTAGTCCAGAATCGGGCCGTGCTTCAAAATGCTATGTTCCGGACTTTGTGGCTGTCTTACCCAATGTTCTAAATAATGTAAAATATGATTTGACGGCAATGTTAAACCTCACGTTTTTTTAAGTCGTGGCGAACCACGTCGTTTGTAAGATATGATTTAAGGTAACAATTTTGTATTATATATATATATATATATATATATATATATATATATATATATATATATTTTACTATTATTTAATTTTATATACATAAATGACTTAAAAGGTGACATTTTGTTAAGAACCTTGATTTTACCAAAACAAAAATATAATTTTTTATTTTTATCAAAAAAAATATTTATATTTGTTAGATTAGTCAGTTTTCTCATAAATGATAAATAATATCTATAATGTAGATTGATCACACAATTTTTTTATACATAACAATTAATACTTTAAAATATTATATTATACAATTCTACATGGTATAAATTGTTGTGTATTGGCAGAGAATATTATATGTACGTTCTTTTGTTCCAAATATAAATATCAATAAATGGAGAAATTTTGTTTTTTAGTCAATGGTCGTTAAAGCTGTAACGTTATTCAATTTAATAAAAACAGATGACCAACCTCCTCGGCATCTCCCTGTAGCTAAACGACGCCGTACTCTGCTCTAAATTGAATAGCTTATTAGCTTTATACCCCCCAACAACATTCAATGCTAACAATAAAGCGATCATTGCCCTCGTCAATGCCAATATTGATGCCACCAATCATCATCACTGCACTTACATAGCAACCCAAATTTTCTTCCCTGTAATTTCTCGCTCTCACTTGGTCAAGTGTAAGCATTTCAAGTTCTAAATTTAGTAATTCAAATTGAACTTTAGAATGCCTATCTGATGTTTGATAAATTGTCTGTATGAAGATGGGGAAGACGAGGATCGTTATGTTGCCGGCAAGTGAGGTTGATTTGACCAAGGTCAAATACGATCCTCGAGAAATTGAAGGTCTTTTTCTTAATTTGTACTTCTTGATTGGTTTTGTGACTGATTCTGAAATGAAGTTCATGCTGATGTTCTAAACTGTTGGGTTTTGTTGTAGCCCCTCATATAACTGGATTACTCCTCAAGTTTTTTGTCAAATTAGTTGAAATGCCTTTGATCGGTTCTTTGCTCATCGGTCACTTGAAGAAACAGAACAAAATGAACCAGGTGTGTTCTAATTAGAAACCATATCCTAAATTCCTAATTGTTTATTATTTACACTCGTACAACACTGGCTATTAAACAGATGTTACGAGATACTCTGATACCAGAACCACCGATGTTCAGACCTGAATTCCCTCCTCAAGGTTTGACCTCCGTCGCATTTCAATTTCCCTCAGTCAGTTAGCCGCTCCCAAAAGCATAGAAATAATCCATCGATTTTGAACTGATATTAGAACCAGAATCTGGAGTCGTTTTTCTCAAAGAAGATGGAAAATCTGAAGACCGCGTTGAATCAGCGGTGGAATGCCTTCCCCAATACGATCCTGCTAGCAATATCAATCAAAGCTCTGACTCAACTCCATTCCGCTACTGGAAGATTCGTGATTATGCATATTCTTACAGATCGAGCCTTACGACTCCATCAATCGTAAGTCATCTACAAGTACTAAATCTTTTTCTATTCTGTTGAAATTGATATCCCCAATCACTTTAAAATAGGTCGCTGAACATGTCATCTCTGCGATTGAAGCGTTCAGCAATAAAACCCCCCCAACACCTCTTTTGATTTCATTTGATGCTGATGATGTAAGAAAGCAAGCTGCATCTTCAACACAACGGTTTCAGGAAGGTACATAAGCTTCCATATCGAAATCGGAAAAAAGGAATGGAATGGAACTGACGATTGTTGGTTTACACAGGAAAACCATTGTCAATATTAGATGGCATCTTCATCGCAATCAAGGATGATATAGATCTTTATCCCCATCCATCTAACGGTATCTATCCAAAGTATCCAATTTTTCAAATGACCTAAATATCCTTCAACCATGGTCATTCATACTTAACTTAGCTTAAATTTCCAACAAACAGGTGCGACAACATGGCTTCATGAGCTACGCAGTGTTGAGAAAGATGCAGTTTCTGTATCGAAATTAAGAAGCTGTGGGGCCATATTGGTAGGAAAAGCCAATATGCATGAACTAGGCATGGGTACTACTGGAGTTAATCCTAACTATGGGTATGGTTTATATAATTTTTATATTTTTTACAAATTTAAACAACTTTATTTTTTATAAAAAGTGCGTATGACAGAACTGCTAGAAATCCACATGATCTGGAAAGATACACAGGTGGATCTTCATCAGGGCCAGCAGCTATTGTAGCTTCTGGAATATGTTCAGCTGCACTTGGAACAGATGGTGGAGGTTGTTTTTTAAAAATTAATCACTAAAAAATTGTTTTTATAATAAAATAAGATAATGTTTAATGTTAATAAATTTCAGGTTCAATTCGTATTCCTTCTTCTCTTTGTGGTGTTGTGGGATTGAAAACAACATATGGACGAACCAACATCAAAGGGTATTTTTTGTTTTTTATTTTTTATTTTTAAAATCTAATTCTTTTTTTGACGAAATATTTCATGAATTATTAATCTTTGTTTTTTTTTTTTTTTTCTGCAGTGCATTGTGTGATGGAGGAACAGTAGAAGTTATAGGTCCAATTGCATCCAGTGTTGAAGATATCATGCTAATGTAACACTTTTACTTCAAATATTTATGAGGACATTAATAATTGAATTTTAATTATTATTATTTTATACAGTTATGCAGCAATCTTAGGATCCTCTCCTTCTGACAAAATCAGTTTGCATCCGGTAATTAATTAATCAGAATGCTGTATCATATACTACATGAATTTTAATATATATTGATTTTATGTTTATTTTTAATGCAGTCTGTGCCTTGTTTGCCTGATCTATCATCCTCAAATGAGAACGTTAGTGTTACAGGATTATTGAAGTTAGGAAAATACAGTGATTGGTTTAATGATGTATTCTCACCTGATATCTCTAATAAATGTGAAGACATTCTTAATATGTTTTCAGAAACTTATGGTTGTAAAGTAAGTATAAGTATTGAAAATTTTCACGTCTAAATTATTTTGTATTTATTAAATATTATTATATAACTCTTTCTACATTTGGTATTGAAGGTGGTAGAGATTGTGATACCAGAGCTTGACCAAATGCGAACAGCTCATGTTGTATCAATTGGTTCAGAAGCAGCAGCCTCATTAAGTCCCGACATTCAGATTGGGTATAATATTCCCATTTGGAAATTTTCTAATTTAATATATAATTTTTATTTTATTTGTTACTGATATGTGTTTGATGTTTGTTATGTTATATGTAGGATGGATAAGAAACTTACATTGGATTCACGGATTAATTTTGCACTTTTCAACTCATTCACAGCTGCAGACTATGTTGCTGCACAACGTCTCAGGTAACCCTAATTACTGAATGGTGTTTCTTTTTTTTACGAATTTGCCCTCGTCTATTTTTACTATTATTTTCTAAAATAAATATTTATAAAATTGCAGGCGGAGGATTATGTACTACCACATGGAGATCTTCAAGAAAGTTGATGTCATAGTCACTCCAACAACTGGGTATTTAAATTTTAATCTAACCATCAAATCAAATATATATTTACAAAACAAATCTCACTTGTTTATTATTCTCATGTCTTTTAATTTTTAGTATGACAGCTCCTGTGATTCCCAAAAGCGCACTTGCATTTGGCGAGTCAAATATAAAGGTCACAGGTCAGTTGACTCTCATGCAATTTAATTTTAATCAATGCTTTATTTATTTATTTATTTATTTAATATTGTTATTGTTATTTTGCAGGCAATTTGATGCGGTTTATCATAGCAGGAAATCTTCTTGGGCTCCCAGCTATTTCTGTACCTGTAAGCGTTTGATCTTATTTGTAGTAATTTTTTCAAAGATTCACATTCATCAATTATTTATTTATATTCTAAAAAATCTTATATTTATTTATTTATTTGTAGGTTGGGTATGATAAGGAAGGGCTTCCAATAGGATTGCAGATTATAGGCCGACCATGGGCTGAAGCTACAGTATTGCGGTTGGCTGCTGCATTTGAGGTATTATACTATATGTATATACATATCCCTACTTTTAGATAATTTAAGATTTTATACTAAAGTTTTTAACAACTTTTTTTATAATTTCAGAGCTTACGTGTTGAGACAAAACGCCCTGCATCTTATTATGACACTCTAAAGGGAAATTAAGTTGCATGGGCAAAAAGGTTTTGTAAACTTTGTTGTGTGGTTAAAAAGATAAACAAATGACTTGTCACATTATTTTGTTGATATGACATGATAAATAAGTTAAATTTGTCATTTTTGTGTTTTCAGCTACACCTGATTTTTTATCACAATTAGTCCCTATACTTTAATTTTATACATATTAGGCCCAAAAATATAAAATTTTGGCTGTGGTCCTCCCTACTCATCGATTTTTATACATATTATATTTCCGGCCCCCCAAATAAAATGTTGAAGCTCCGCCCCTACTTGTACATGTTATGAGAAAGAATCCAAACTGCTTATGCTATTTGGGGTTGATATAGTTATCTTATAGTGTCATTATTAGGAATATTCTTCTAGAGTGAAATGATAGAATGATTTGAACCTAAAACCATTAATTTAGATCAAGCAAACCAATTTACTTGATATTAGGATAATTAAATATAAGGAATGATTCTTGAAATAATTGAGTTACAAATTAAATGGAGACTTGAGATAGCTTGAAAAAAAAAATGGCATGAGAGTAATGTTCGTATATCCTTCTACCAACCTGCAAATTCATTCAAAGTTGACGGGCTTGATGTCAGCGACTTGACACGTTTAGATATTATTTTTTATATTTAATAAATAAAAATAAAACCCTAAATCTTAAACTTGTGTCCCTCCCCGATTATTTGTTATATACAAACCTATTTGATTAATATGATTTCTCTTCTTCCCTTGCGAATAAAAATTAGACAAAATTTAGGGTTTTATCACCTTATCATTATGTTTTATAGCCTTTTGTTTTTCGATGGTTGGTATAAAGGGTCAGAGTAGAGAGTGGAGCGATCCCCCGATTGGATCGGGAGCAAACGCCTACGAAAATATCTCATAGGTTTTTGACCTATCTTCTACTAAAAAGGAGCCGCTTTGTTGACGCGGTTCGGGCAGAAGAGGGGGGGGGGGGTGTTGACATCCGCGGGTTCCATGTCAAGAGAGAAGGACGGGACGGGAGAGGCATTGTCGTGGACTAGCCGCTGTTCTAGATGTGGACACCTTTTAGGATTGTTTACATGTTTTGCATGAGTGTCACTTTGCTAAATTGATCTGGAACATCTTTATTCCTACTGAGCATCAACGTTTTATCCATCCTTAGGTGAATGCTTCTCCTAGCTCAACCCATTGCCTCAACATGTGGTTTGGGATTTACCACCTCATCGGGGTTCAAAGAGTAACTCATAATTAAGAGAGTGAGGGCTAAAGTTAGATACTTGGCGGGAGAACCAGAGGCATTCATTTTCCTTCTTTGTCCACAGATATCGGGATCTATCCAAGAAATTCATTGATAAATTTTAGGGTGGGGGTCGGGGAGGGTGGTAATGGGCTTCCCATTTTGGCTTCTAATATTAATATAATAGAAATGTTAGAAAACAAAAATTTTGTTTGATGCTCTACTTTTGATAAATGTTACAAATATATATTGTTAGGTTATTAACATTGATTTTTTTGGTTAAAAAAAGAAGCCTCTATATAGAAATTTTAAATCTAGTTGTTCTAAACGTACAAGAAAACAAAAAGAATAACAATTTATTCATAGTCAAAGAAGATCTATCATTCGTTTTATCGTCAAAAAATCTCAGAATACCATCGTAACGAAGAATCAATTGTGATCTGTCAAAGAACATAGAGAAGAAGAAGTTGAATTATGCATGATAGAAAACATAGATGAAGTTCATGAAGTTGTAGAAAAATTTAGAGAAGAAATTTATGAAGTTATGGAAGAACCTAGAGAAAAAGAAGTTGAACTGAAAGTTGAAGATATATCTTGTGTAGATGAAGACATAACCATATTGAATGGTAATGATGATGAAAAATAAGATATTCCAATAAATATGTATGATCCTAGAAACTGAAACATCTAATAAGTGGATACATGATGTTATGGTAACGATTAATGAATTTACGAGATATTAGCAAGTAGCAACTTTCAGTTTTGAATTTAGTGATAGCAAATTTACTAAATAATACTTTAGAAGAAAAATTTTATGGAGCTTCATTTTGATTTTCCGATATGTCAAGAATGGGCCTGGAATCAGTCAGTTTCTCGTTTCAACGCATGAGTTTAAATTTCACAAGAAACTTTCATTGACAAATTAGAATCGATTTCCAATCCTGAATCCTCCTCAATTTCCCACATTTCGTTACGTTGTGTAATGTCGGTTAACATGTGCCGGCGCTCACGAAAAGGAAAATCCTTAAATCTGTTCACTTTGAAAATACAGCCCTTCAAATTTGATGATATTATAATAATACCCCCTAAAGCAAATTTAAATTAAAATATTCATTCAAAAACAACTTACTAAAAACTGAAACATTAACACGTGGAGAAGGATGGAGACCCACAGCTTTTATCTTTTTCTTTAAAGCCTCCAATTTTTCAACTATTTGTTACAAATAAAAGAACAATATTTACATGCCTTTGTAAGACAATCATCATGCTACATAACATGGTTATGTGAGTTTCAACTTGAATGTTTAGACTTTAGACTTTTCATCACAGTTCAACAATAATAGCCATTAACATTTTGATCGAGGAAAAATATACGAAGAAACTGCTAGATGCCTAGATCTTTTCGTATTTCGTAACCTTTTCTTTACAATTCCACGTTACCAAAATAAAAAAACTATGGGCTAAGACTTGTCCAAAATTATAAAACTCCTTCAATTCACCGACTTCCAAACAACAACACAAAAAGATACTAAAGACTCACTCGATCAAATCCAACAATCAGAGATACAGTCGCCGACACATGTTAACCGACATCACACAACTGCAATACGGACATTGAATCGTATGAAAACGGGTTTTCCTTTTCGTTAGCGCCGATATCGTTTGACTACAAAGAACATGATGACACTCATCCATACCCAACATCATCGCCGGATTATCTTCATCGCTTTGTTCCTTGCATACAGGACAAACAAAAGCGGAATGAAACTGAAACTCTTTTCCCAACTCCATCGCCACCGGAAACTTCCTCATCGCCGCCCATTCATCCTTACCCATCAGATTAGCCGTATTCAAAAGGGTCGGCAGCCCAAGAGCTCCGGCATCCACAGTCACCGTTAATGGGTTCCTAAAGGACACCCCAATAGACCCACAGAACTGAACAATAAACTCTTGGCTTACCGCCGCCCATTTTTCCGGCGACATTAGGTCGGAGTAAGGTGAAGTTTCGATCTTCTCCGGCCAAAAAAAGAAGACCGTGAGATTTAAAACTTCGTTTCTGTGGTTTGAAGCAAGTGGTGAAAGGTAAGTTTTGACAAAGTTGATTCCCTCCGATGGGGTTTCTTTTAAAAGCTTCAAGAATTGAAGTCGCCGGAGGTTAAACTCAAGATTATTTGACTCCTTCGGGTCAAGTATGCGACGGTTGACCGACACCCAATTCAAAGCAGGTTCAAGATTTTTAGCTTTCAATGCGTCAAGAATCTCATGCATTTTTGAAAAATCACGTCTTAACCAATTAATATGGCGTTGTTGAGCTTCGTTTGTGAATGTATTGGCGACATCAAAGAGACCTTCATGGTAAAGTAGGTTCAGAATGATTTTGTTTACTATAGGCGACTCAAACTCCACGTTTCTGGATGCTTTTGATATATCTGTCTCTACGAATTCACCCAGGATTTCTGGGTAGTTTTTAAGATCAACTTTTAGGTCCTTCTTCAACATCTTTATCTGTTCTTGAACCCTATACGCATCGAGCTTTTCTGTCAGGTGTTTGATCACTGATTTATGATCGATATCGTTGGCTGATTGAAGGTCGGCGAGTGCTTGTTTAATCTCATCTTCAACCATAACGATCAGTTGGTGGTACTTACTCGTAGATAATTCTTGTTTCTTGGCAACTCGATCAAATTCATCTATAATGGTTTTCAGATCCATTAAACCTGCAAATGTTCTGCAAAAGAATTACACAGATGAATGTCAAGAAGATGAATACCAAAATTCTCCAATAAGTTTGGTAGATCTTTGATGTGAAGGATTTGAATTGCAACTTTAAAACAACTTCTGATAGTAATTCTTGATAACGTATGAAATCAAAACCTCAAACATGCAATGATGAAGGAATGCTCTGTTTTCATATCAAGAATTACGGATTAAAGAAAATTAGGGTTTTGCATTGCATAAGAACTTACAGTAACTTGTAGATTGGAATCAAAACAGAAATTAACGAGGATCACGAGAGTTTATGCATTGCACCTATGTTGAGATCATCAGGCAAATTTGGGGAATTAATCGACAGCGATTGAACGTTATATATAGAGCTGAGAAAGATGGCAGTTTGTAAAGATGGTGTACTCAGTATGATGCTTCGGAGCCGTTAAATATAAAATTTGCATCGAATTATCAAATAAAAAACTATTTTTTTATAAAAGAAATCAAAATAGGTAAGTTTTTAATTATTTGAAAGAAAAAATAAAAATTAATATATAATGTCAGTTACATACACAACCAACGTGTAGATTTTATTGAAACTATATAAATCCTTATTTTTTTTAAAAAAATCATAAATTCATAAATTTTGATATATTTAATTTTTTTCATCCCGTTTTAAGAATTTGAGGATTCAGTTATTCTTTAAAAAGAAATGGTTGTAGGATTTGTAAGTTTTCATCAATAAAATCAATCTAAGCATATGCAGATAATCTCTCCTAATTAATACTTGTCTTGGTCTTTATTAAATGCATGCTCTCTTACTAGCTACCACGTGATTAATAAAGCTACATCTTTCAGTTTGAAGAATTTGTGTGTATTTGTAAATAAAATCAACATAATATGCAAATCACGTTCAAGAAATTGTTTATCAAGAGTTTTGATCAAACTCATCCTTATGATTACGAAATAAGTTTCCACGCGCATCTATAAAGTTACGGCTAAGCCCATGAATATAACTCAAGCTAATGGCTTCTCCAATTCTAACACTAAATCTTATTTTTTGCAACATTTATCTTCACTTCTTGGTACTATTTTTGAATACACGAATATAATGGTGTCTTGCAACTTTTGCCGCTTGTATGCTTATGTGGAAGTTACTACCGGCATTGTACACCACTCCCAATTGTATTATTGTCGGCCGTATATTACCGGAGGCAAACCTTCACCGATGAAAAATTGGATTGTTTGAACATTTGACCATTTGTAGTATAGCTCTTAGGGCGCCTTTATCATTTTTTTTCTTTTTTTTTTTTTTTTCAAATTACCACTATATATACACACATTTAACCTTCTATTCATTAAAAAAAACCTTATTC